TATGGTAAATCTGCTCCTTTTGTTCATCGATGAATTTTCTTCTCTCATAAATCACGGTTTGTACATTTAGTTATGTATTTACAGAGTTTTCTCTGTTACTCTCTCTCTATCTCTCTCTCTCTCATAAATCATAATATGCATGTACGTCTTAGTCATCGTACTGAGTCATTTGTTGTATTTTTTTGCAGAATTTGGTGTGTAGTTCAACTGAACACATGTGCCCCTGAAGGTCCGATTGCCAAGTGTACAGTGCCGTCGTCAAATGTCTGATCTCCTGTAGTGTAAGTTCAGTTGACTACTTGGATTGGCAACCATTGTTTTTTTCTTGAGTTATTCAACAGTCAATATTTCCATTTGCTAACTGTACACATGTGCCCCTGAATGTCTACTTATCGTCCTCTGTTAACAGTTCAAGCAGCAACCTCCTTCCTTTCAGACCTTAAACCTATACAGAAACTACATGCAGATTTTGTTGGCTGTGTTTTATGTCTACAATGTAGGTATATTCTCAGTTAGATTATGCAATGCTCTGACAGAAGTTATTATTTCACTCTTCCTCCGTAATATAGCAGATCATGTTTGCTGATTCAATTGGGCAAGTTTTCCACACTTTACCTATGATCATATGAATGCATATGAGAAATCTTAACTTCAATTGGTAGTATTCTAACATCCAACATATAAGTGGTGCCTCTCAACTGCAGCTACATTATATTATCCTATGAAAGAAATGCATGCTATTGTCTGTAGCGCTTGGAAACACTAGATGTTTGGAGGGAGTACTCAGGTACAATTTATCATTACCTTTCAGATTTAGTTAATATAATTTACAAATTATTAATATAATATCATGTCATTTTATCAACAATTTTGCAGGCGTACATTTAAATGTGGTACGAGGCGGCTGCTCTGCCATGTATATTATCTTATTCCATTTCATGTTGTGTTGTGCTGCTGTTTTTTTTTCTAAACTCGAGTCCATTAATATGAATCAACAAGTTCGCAAGTTGAATCATCTAAAAATACTTCTACATATCTCGCAGCAACGCGCGGGGCATTATTTAGTTTCATCAACGAGCCAGGACTGATCGGTCCGGTCCAGAACGGGCCAAAAAGCCCGCTCGCTCCGTCCAGCCTGACATCCAGGTAACGTCTCGCCCCCGCGCGAATGGAGCCCATCGGGGCGCCCCGACCCCGCCCGCCACCTTCCGCAACCGGGCCCCGCCACCACTGCCGAGCGGCGAGGGAACCTTGAGCAGATGGGGCTCACTGGGCTACAGGGATTCGACCTCCGGAGCCGCCCGCGCGAGCGGCCCGCGAGGAGGAGGGGAAAGTCAGGCTATTGCTGAAGGTTGAAATGGTGATTCTGGCCACTTGTATCGCTATATACCAGTCTAGCTATACGTCGCACCTTCATTTCCTCATTCCTTCGTCGAGTCGTCGTCATCGCCATCGACGGGTTTCTCCCCGGAATCAGGTGGCGCGGAGCAGCTCGGCTGTCCTCTCCTCTCTCCTCCGGATCGCCGCAGCCCACCGCCGATACCAACCGTAATAATCCCCCGTACGGCCCGCCCCCTCCTCCCCCCTCCCGCCCGCCTGCCCAGATTAACCTAATCCCGCGTACCTAGGGTTTGTGCTATGGCGGTGCCGCGGCCGTCGTGGTCGCGGTCGGTCACAGAGACCGTGCGGGGATCGCACCAGTACACGGTCAAGGGATTCTCCCTCGCCAAGGGCATCGGTCCCGGCCGGCACCTCTCCAGTGACACCTTCGCCGTCGGCGGCTACGACTGGGCCGTCTACCTCTACCCGGACGGGAAGAACCACGAGGACAACGCCAGCTACGTCTCCGTGTTTGTCGCCCTCGCCTCCGAGGGTACCGACGTCCGCGCCCTCTTCGAGCTTACCCTCCTCGACCAGTCCGGCCGCGCCCGCCACAAGGTCCACTCCCATTTCGACCGATCCATGCAGGCCGGACCATACACCCTCAAGTACAGAGGATCCATGTGGTAACTAAGAACATCTCCCTTACCATTTACTCTGCCCCCTTTGCCTCTTTGCCACCTAAATTGCTTCCAATTACATTTGCCTTGTAGTCTTGTACCCCTTGGATTTATTTAACGGATGCCACTACTGTTTGCTACTTTCTGTCTGCTGAGATTTTCACATCTCTAGTTCTAGGCGGATTGGTTAGGCAAAATACCTTACAATGTTATCTTCAACGCCACAGCTTAAATTAAATCGCAGCAAAGCAAATATTGCTTGAGACTAATGTATTGGTCATTAGATACTGCATAATTCCTGGAACAAGAAACCAAGAATTGATGGTTTGCAGAGACTGGCATTCTGTTTCGTATTGCCATATTCTTACGTAGGAAATGGTCAAATGGTATTTCGTTTCAAATGAATGAGGTTTATTTTTTCTTATCGGTTACTTCTCATCATCCTCCCTTACTGATTGTAATGTGCTCTCCCCTCCTTGGCATATTCTCTTTTTCTGTGTACTTGCATTACTCTTTTTCATTTTGTAACGGCAGCTCAAGGTGATTGATTCTTTTCAGGGGTTACAAGAGATTCTACAGAAGGACCCAGTTAGAAGCATCAGATTTTTTAAAGGATGATTGCCTAGTAATGAACTGCACAGTAGGTGTCGTCAAGAACCGTCTCGAAACACCAAAGAATATCCAGATTAATGTCCCCCCATCGGATATTGGCCGTTGCTTCAAGGAGCTCTTCGAACTCCACATTGGCTGTGACATAACTTTTGAAGTAGGTGATGAGAAAGTCCAGGCACATAAATGGATTCTTGCCGCTCGCTCCCCGGTGTTCAAAGCCCAATTCTTTGGACCTATTGGTAAACCTGACATGGACAGAGTTGTTGTGGAGGATGTTGAACCTATCGTCTTCAAGGTAATTGTTACATGCAGACTGCACCTATTTTTAGTATGTTTTTGTTAGGGAATCCCAGTTCATCCTTTTTAGGTGTTTTCAGTCATAATTTACATTTTTAGAATCTTTTTTACTCATTTGCGAGTGTTTTCTCTCTGCTCTCTGTTGATTAACACACATGCTGTGTGCACTTGTAATTTAATTCCCAGCAGAATAAATAAGTTAATCCCCGTAAAGTAAGCATGTTTGATCTTGTCTATGAACAATCTAGTTCAATTGTTTGTGTTAGAACCAATCTTGGTCTATTTTGGATTACTAAACTTTTGCTGGCTTGCCTAACATCCAACCTTGAGAAAAAGAAGGAAATCCTTGCAAAATTATTATTTAGTGAAAGACCCCTTATGGTAATATAATATTACAACTTCTCTTCCAATGTAGGCAATGGTCAATTTCATATATTCTGATGAGCTCCCTAGTATTCATGAAGTAGCTGGATCTTTCTCAATGTGGACATCTACTGTGGTAACACAACATCTGTTGGCAGCAGCTGATAGATATGGGTTGGACCGGCTACGAATCCTATGTGAGGCAAAGTTATGTGATGAACTCACTTCTGAAACAGTAGCGACAACCTTAGCCCTAGCTGAACAGCACCACTGTGCTCAGCTCAAGTCTGCCTGTCTAAAATTCACTGCCGTTCGACAAAATCTGGGAGGTATGCCTTTATTCTCTTGAATATATTTGCATCCTTCTGTTGATAGAAGACAGTGTGTTGTCTTCTGTTTATCTGTATCCGCCTAGTATTATAGTACTTCGTTAGAAGGTCACGAGTACATAACTAGATATACATGCTAACACAAAGAGTATTTCCTTCTATTGCTATTAGGATAAAGTGGCTGCCTTTTTTGGGTATTCGGAAATGTCGGTTAGAGTAGTGATATAATATCTGTGACATTATAACCATTTGGTTCATGTTAACTACAATATTCCACGAGTTTTGAATACCACACAAATTTTGGGTCCTGGCACATTTTTCTTGCTGCAAGTTTCAACATACGCATGTGTGTTCACTAGCAAAATGGTGACGATACTATAGAATGATTGCAAAAAGCGCAAATGCTCAACAGTCCTATATGAGGGCGTTAGATTGTTGAGAATATAGTAGGATTGGTAAAACACTCTTCTTGTTTTTATTTTCATTTTCTTGTAGAGTTGATATTGTTCTCAAGGACTTGCAGTTATGTATCAAGATTGATGAATCAGTATAACATCACTTTCTTTAAGTAGCAGTTGCTTTGAAAATTTCAGAGATCTTGCAATTCAAACCACTAATGCTGAAAACCCATAGCTTTGAGTTCTTTAAGCCAAATGCTCGCACACGCCCGCATCCTGAGATGTTCATGTGCGGTGCTATGCTTGCTTGTGCCCATTCAGCTGGCTTGTTTGGTGTGTGGCGTAACATGTGGGCATTCATATGCATCATTAAGGAAGTGAAGCTAAGCACATGATTAGTTAGTGTACAGCCATACTAGATGTCAGGCATGGATATATGAACATCAGCTTGTGTTAGCAGGTGATATCGATGTCAGCAATTGACAGTATGTGAGCCCTCCGTTTCTTTTTACTCCGTGTATTAGATTTGTCTGAAGTCAAATCTCCAAAGTTTGACCAAGTTTATACAAAAAACTATTAACATTCACGCTACAAAATCAATATCATTAGATCCATCATGAAATATATTTTCATATTATATTTATTTGATATTGTAGGTGTTGATATTTTTTAATATAAATTTGGTCAATCTTTACAAAGTCTGACTTAAATCTAATCTAATACACGGAGCAAAAAGAAACGGAGGGAGTACATGAAAATCATGATGTGTCAGTAGCTGAGATTGTTGAGCCAATGAACACAGATCAGGTCATTGGGTTACCCATACATATAGTATATAGAAACTCATATACATTATAAATAGTAGCACACCTGATGAGTCACCCGTAGAGCATAATTGAGTGAGACGGTCCATTAGTTGCGGGTAAGAAGTAATCCAAAAAGGGAAGCTAACGTGGAGGAAGCTACATGTGACACAAAAGCATTACAAGGCCTGAAGTTCACTATGTGGGATCTTAGGCTTACCGCTTATTTGTTTACACAAGCTATATGTAAATAAAAGCAACTCATGCAGGAAATCCTTCTGGATAAGCCATGGAAGTTCTGCTTCCTAAAGCAATATATGTCCCACCTCGCCCCTCGTCCCTCCCCGTTGCAACTCAGAAACATGTAGTGCTGACTTTGCTTTGTGAAAATGGAATACTACTTTCAGTCTCCTCGCCACCAAAGCAGCCTAAAATAATTTCAGAAAAGTTTTAGTGTTGGGAAAGACTAAACTGTGAATATGAATTGGAAGTGATGTATAAACCTTCCATAGAATTCTTCAGAGAATTCAACAGCAAATGAGACCCTTGATATAACAGCTTCATGAATCTGCAATGTCTAATAATCATAATAATACACACGTGGAGGTCAGCCAATCTCATGTACCATGAATACATGCCTCAAAATGTGGAAAAATAAACTGAAACATAACCATCACCACACCATCTGGTACTGCTGCCTGCTCCCATTGACCAAGGCATTGGAAGATATTTCAACTAGTAGTTGTTAACCGCGTGTTGCTGCTGGTATTGGGTAAAACATATTTTACTGAAATTTGGTTCTATGAACATGAGTAAACATGAATATTTGGAATAATAACATATGATCTAAAACTAAAAATACATGTCAAAAAATGTGTTTGATTATTGTATAGTTATTAATTGAAAATATTTACTCCCTCTGTAAAGAAACATAAGAGCGTTTAGATCACTAAATATTTCTTTACAGAGGGAGTATTGAATAGAAATAGCATAATATAATGGATTTTTTGCCATGCTTGTGATGGTGGGCCTTTGATGAAGTGGCATGTTTGCATGTTGAGATAAATAGCAGTGGGGATCAATTTATAAGGGAAATCTTTCACATGCATATTAAGGTGGGCCTTGATGAGGTGGCATGTGTGCACGTTGAGATAAATAGAGTAGTGGGGATCAACTACTTGAGTATATATAGGATTTCAGTAGGAAGAAAAGGCTAAGGCTACACAAGGTAACACTTAATATCATGGTGGTGAAAGCAATGCCGCATTAGCCATGGCTAGCAGCTGCAAGACACTCAAGTGTCCATAGCAGAAAACAGCAAATATAAGCGTCAATCTATGATGCTTTCACATGGTAATAACACTTTTAGCATGCAAATCATGTATGTGGAGTTTATAGTTGTCGCAGTGTGACAGTGGGACTATTTTCTGTATGAGGCTATGGGTTAAAGGCAACGCAAAATATCCCCTACTTTCACCGATATATTTCTACCACCCTAAAACAGGCCCATAAACATTTACTACAATGAAAAGAACTTCTGAAGGCACTCGGTCACAAGTTAAGCTTCTACTAAAACGGCAGCCCGGTGCACGTAGCTCCACTTGCACAGGGTCCGGGGAAGGGTCCGAACACTTTGGGTCTATTGTACGCAGCCTTTCCCGCAGGGTCCGGGGAAGGGTCCAACCACTTTGGGTCTATTATATGCAGCCTTTCCCTACATTTCTGCAAGAGGCTGTTTCCAGGACTCAAACCCGTGACCTAATGGTCACAAGGCATCAACTTCACCGCTGTGCCAAGGCTCCCCTTCACAAGTTATGCTTCTACTGACCTACCATTTTTTATTCACTCTGTAAAATGGCCATTCAACACTCATTTATATATGAAGCTACAAAGAGATAACAATAACAGCTGGATTGATGAAAACAGAAATCACGATGTACGACGTAGCAATACTGACATTTGTTCTCCTATTCAAATGATAACACTTCATGCTATTAAGATAACCTAATCCTGGTGAAAATGGAACGTAATTTTCAAATTTAGTAGTTTGAGATATCACCTTAGCACTGAAGATGGGAGCAGTAGCGAAAACCTTGAAGGCTTGTTGAACCGCAACCTAGCATTGCGGAGCTAGAAGAAATTTGTAGCTGTTGATTACCTTCAGCCGTCGTTTTTCTAAGAGAACCTGCTCATTAAATAGAAGCCAAACTTTTAACTTCAATATCTTATGGAATTATGGAAGTATAACTCTGCAATTCGTTAAGTTCTATATGAATCATACGTTAATAACTGTGCAGCGATGTATACTTCAAAACCATAAGCATTAGAGAGGCTATAGAAGGCAGATCATTCCAAGCTGATATGTATTAACATGAAGCACTAACTTTGATAAAGTGTAGACGCAAACTTAAAATGCAAGTGTGTTTCATTCTAATACCAACACATCAAAAGTGATAGGCACCTAATGTCGAAAACACATAAAAAGTGACTACTTCATAGCTGAAAAGAATAACAAACAACGTTCTAGAAGATCAACAGCAGTTTAAACATCATGACAGTAAGCAAATGGTGTAAAATCCTGATCATCCTTGCAAGCAATTTGACAAACATTTCATGTCCATGGATTGATCACCTATAAATTCATTTCGAGATGCACGGGCAGAAGTCCCCATGCCCTCCCATCTATCAAATTGGTTGGAACCCATCAAAGAACCACCACATGAGCTGAAAACAAAATAAAACAGCTGCATACCTTGTACGGAGATCTTCCTCGCACTCCACTCTGCTAGGCTGCTCCCTCCATCCCAAAACAACTGTCTCAACTTTAGTTAGTACAAAGTTGAGACACTTATTTTGGGACGGAGGGAGTATTTGTTAAGTGCAAGCTTTTCCCTGTGGAAGTATGTATGGATGCTTTCTTGAGCTGGTATTTTCAACGGACCAAGCACCAAAAACGAGATAGGACGTTCACATGGAATATAATAGAACAAAACTGAGGAACAGGGAGCACGAGAACCAAAAAAATCAGGAGGCCAAACGAGAGGGGGTGGGCTCACCGAGGGGATCTTCCCATTATTGCATCGCCGTATAGTGTAGGATGACGGTGGCTCGCGGTCGTCCAGTTACAAGTTGCAACAACTCCAAAGGAGGAGGCAGGTTCGCAGGGGCGACAAGTGGTGCTGCGTCGCAGTAGCTCAAGGTTGGGAAAGAGGAACGCGAGCGTGGCGGCGGCAGCGGGTTGCGTTGGCGGCGGTGTGAGGGTTTGGGTTGCGTGCGTACAGAAGAAGACTCTTTTCTTAGCTCCCAGGCTTCTATTTTAAACCCAATCCTCATGCAGCAATCAAACGCCTATTACATATGGGACCAACTAAACAAATGGCCCACATACGCACCAGCCTAATCTCTCCACCGGATTGACGAGTAGAGAAGTGACGCACGCCAAATCAGCAAGCAGAGGAATGAGCAGACCCGCATGCGTTTTTTCTTCGTCACTAAGCACTGTTATAATCCTACATGGACGCTCCAAACGCTCGCCCCTTCTCTCGGGCTTATTGGTTTTAATGTGTCAGTGCCTCGGTGGGTGGGTGGGTGGGTGCATGAGGCACATGCTCTCATGTGCATGGCATCTGTGTTTTTAGTCATTGAGGTGCGGTCCATTGCCACTCAAGCAAATTTATAATGCTCGCTGATGTCCACATTTCAAATTCCAACATAAGAGTTTCCATCCTTGTCTTTCTGTTAGTCGCCACTGTTTACTCTTCCTGTATCCCCCAGTGGTTTGTTCGGCTGGCCTCTTTGAATGCTTACTGGATGATAATTATTTTTCTACTTTACCTGCTGTAATATATGTACTATTATTCTTCCTCATTTTTCTTTGTTGATGATGATTTCCTTAAACAGTAGCATGAACATGCTACTATTTCAGATGCTTTTGCTATCAAAATCATGGCTTGATGATACTATATTGTCTTTGTGCATGGAAGTTATGAAATCTTTATCAGATGACATTCTTGTAAACTGTAGGGTTGAACAAGAATGTGTTATTTCTATCTAGTTCTGGAACTGTAATCTTTAGCAACAGAGAGGAAGCTGTTGCTGGTTTCAAAAAGGAAACTGAAAGAAAATAAAAAAGCAAGTCGTAATTGACCCTTTCCAACTTCTACTCCTTATAATGTACTCCCCCTGTCCTATAAATATAAGATGTTATTACAACCAATATACTACCTCCATTCCTAAATACTAAGACGTTGGGGCAGTTTAATCTAAACTGCCCCAACTTATTATTATTTAGGAATGGAGGTAGTATGATATAAGATGTTATTACAACCAATATACTCATATACTGGTTGTAATAACGTCTTATATTATGGGACGGAGGAGTATTTCACCTATTTCAAGATAAATGTGGGAGCATTACCTCCTTCAGTGAAGGAGAAGAATGCAAACCTTCAGCAGCATAATGCTGTTATCCCCATTCATTTGCCAAATGCCCTTCATATTAATTTTGAGCAGCTGATGCTCGCTTAGTACCTTCAGTTCCAGTAACCTCCCAATGTTGGGTTCGTGGTATTAGCTTTGCCTTTTGCAAATATAAGATGCCTTTTCATGGAAATTTTAGCTACCGTTGGGACTTCCCTGCTGTTTGGTGCCCAACGGAATTTTCACCATTTAGAGTCCTTTTAAAACATTTGTTTTGTTGTTATAAGAAGGGTTTAATTACCTTGAGTTGTCACCTTAGCTGTTTGGTTTTGTTGTGCAGCTGTGATGGAAACAGAAGGGTTTAATTACCTGGAGGAGACTTGCCCATCCTTGCTGTCTGATTTGTTAGCAACCGTCGCAGTAGTGGATGATGATCCTTCATCTGTTAACCGGAAAAGGGGAGTTTGTATCAACGAAGATGTGAATCCCGTTGAAAGCGTTGAGGCTAGTGACAGGCGCACCCGCAGGAGGGTTTAGGCGGAGGCTGTCAACTAATGTAGCTATTTGCTGTCTCCCATGAATTTTACTATGGCTGGAGTTATGTCAAGTGCTCTGTGACAGGAACTTTGATTTGGGTGAGAGCAACTTGTGAATAATCTCCAGCATTGACGGCTTTCTGTGGCATTAGTTGCAACTCTGCCTGTTCATTGACATATTGTATGCTGTATTTAGGTACTCCCTCCGTAAAGAAATATAAGAACATTTATAGATCACTAAAGTAGTGATCTCAACGCTCTTATATTTCTTTACGGAGGGAGTAATAAGTAATGCTGGATTCCACTGCTTTTCAAGATGGTTGTTTTCGAAATGAATGAATCTAATAAGGTAAGTTTCTATACTATGTCCAAATTGATTTTCCTCCCTTCGGGATTTTTTGGGGCTCCCGGTTGGTTTTCCTCGGTTTGATGAATGTAATTTGGGGACATGGGTGCATCGTGTTGAAGTGTATACATGGATTGTATAGCTCTTTTCATAAGTTTGGACTTTTGGTTGTCTTTTGTAATTTATTTAAAAATTGATGTATTTGTGCTGGTCAGTGCATGAAAGCCTAACCCTCTTGAGGTTTTCTTTTTGATCGCTTTGTTTTGTTTAGTCTACCAATGGTTCTAAAATACTCACTCCGTCCCATAATATAAGATCATTTTTAAATAGGTGCCATCTGACTGTAGCGGGCCAAAAAACAGCCCTGATTGTCGTCAGATGTGCAGTTCCTGGCTGCCTGACCCTCTCATGTTTTCCTTTTGCTTTCCCTCCCTCCTAGCAAAGCTTGTGCGGCACATGGTTCCTCCCTCTGGTGGTTTGTGTGTTCCCGCTGCAGCAGCCCTCTTGTGGCAGCCATTGCTGCAACATCGTGCATCCAACTCAGTGCGATTGTGGCAAAAAATGCGTTGATCCCCAAAGTGCCGGCTTGCAGTGGCGCCGAGTGCTTCGTCCCGAGGGCCGGCCTTAGAGCATCTCCAGTCGTTGATCCCCAGGGGGGTCGCTTGAGGATGAGCCGGCGTAAAAAATCGGCGTGGGGGCGAGTTGGTCCCTAGCCGCCGGCCCCAGGGCCGCCTTCAGGTGCGTTTAAAAAATAAAAGTATATAACAAATTTCGGCAAAGTTTGGCGAAGTTTGGCTAAACACGACAAATTTCGTTCAACTTGAGCATATATTTTGACAAAGTTTACGGATTTTCATTACGTAGCAAATATATAAATATAACACCCACGATGTGGTTATATCTCCCACGTGTCGAGGCACGACTTAGAGGCATAACCGTATGGTAAGCATGTCGCAAGAGGGGCAATCTTTACACATCCCATGTACTGAACAAGGAAGGGATAAAGAATTGCCTTACAATCGCCACTTCACACAATACATTAATATAGCATACATCATCCAGAATACAATCAAGGTCCGACTACAGAACCAACATAAATAAAAGACAATCCCAAATACTAGATCCCCGATCGCCCCAACTGGGCTCCTCTACTGATCATCCGGAAAAGACATATAGTAACGTCCTGAATCCTCGTCGAACTCCCACTTGAGTTCGGTAGCGTCCCCTGCACTGGCATCATCGACACCTGCATCTGTGAGTCACGAGGACTCATCAAACTCATACCCTCACGATCAAGACTATTTAAGCTTAAAGGGGTAGGAAGGAGTAGTGAGGTGGAGCTGTAGCAAGCACTAGCATATATGGTGGCTAACTTACACAAAAGAGAGCAGAAGAGAAGTAAAGCACGGTCGACAAGTTAAAAGTGATCAAGAAGTGATCCTAAAGCTACTTACGTTCAAT